TTTTTGAAATTCTAAGCAGTTTTTATAAGTAACTTTAAAATGTATTTGTGAAACAGGAAAAGAGGAAAAAAAAAAAAAAAGCTAATAGAATGTTAATGTCAGATGTTCCAAAAAAACATATTTTAATTGAATCAAATTGCATATAAATATAAATAAACAAATGTATGTATATGTATATGTAATGTCTATACAATTTATACACGTTCATATTTACAAATAATTTTTTTTTTTTCTGAAGGATTACTAATCCGTGTAGTTTGCCAAAGGACAGAGGAAATCAGTGCTCTAATGCTGCTCCAAAAATTCAAGTTAGTATTTTTAAATCTTTTCTTTTTTTTTTAGCTGTATAATAAGTACTGCTTAGGAAGGTCACTACACGTCTAATTCTTACTCTTAATCAGTTAAACTTTTAAGGGTCAGCAATATTCAAATTATCACTGTTAACTGCTGTTTTGGTAACAGTGATAAGTGTAAATAATAGTAGTAATGATAACTTATTTATAGTGGTTCTTCGATACAGAAACTGTTTCATGCCTACCTTTCCGATACTTGGGCTGTGGTGGAAATGCAAACCAATTTAGTACTAGACAAGATTGCTCGCGACGATGCGTTCCTAGTACAGATTTTGTTTATCGATGTTCAGTGACCATCAGCTATTTAACAGATATATCTATACTTGCTACGCATCTGCGTTTTACCTTGAAGAGCACGTCAAAATACTACTGAAAATTTTATGTGTTATTTCTGTAGTACGTGTTAGTTTGATCAAAACTGAAAAGCAAAAAAATTTGCAGTGGACTATGGATGGTGTGCTTTGAAAGGAGAGCCATATAAAGAACCTAATGGTACGAATCGTTTATGTCCTCAAACGGGCTGTCCGGATGAATACCGATGTATCCGGCTTGCGTTCTTCGGCATATGCTGCCCAAAACAAACCGAAGGTTTTGTTTTACATTGTTTTTGCAAACTTTGATGTTTTTTTGCACTTTACTAACTGTTCATTAGCTTAGACATTGTCAGTTCACATCATTTGAATTACCTTCACCTTCTGATCGTTGTTCAGTACTATGGTTTCTTTATTTACACGTTCTTACCATATGAAGATTAAATGCATTATAGTTTCTTTGGGTGTTTAGTGATAATAGCAATTTGAGAGTTTAATCAATGTCCTCCCCCTTTATGCACCTTTTAAGGTTCATTTTGAAGTTTTTTGACCAAAAGAAGGAAAACAACAAAGAAACTTTGATTTTGTTTTGTACTGTATTGCCTGTAGAATAGCTGTCAGGATGCACTAATTGCCTGGTAAACTTCGGGGTCACAAGGGTAGTTCCAGTTAAACTTTTTCTTTTTTTAGGTATCCGTTTAATTATTTATATCTTCCTCCTCTTGCTCATATTGCTGTTTTCTAAAAAAGAAAAGGGACGGGGGGAAAAATGAGAAATTCCTTATGGAAATTTAATAGAAAAAGACAGATTTTTTTACTTTATTTTTTCTCACAGCCTGACTTGAGTCATCTTTTGTTCTTGAAAATATCGGATAAATGTAAGCGCTGAAGGGGCCCATCATTTGACGATTTGATAAAAAGCAACAAACTTTATTAGGAGAATTATATTTGCTTGAAGAGGGATCTTCCAGCATTTTCTTTTGCACCTTGTTTGATAAACGCTTTTTTTCAGCGTTGATGGATAAAAACAACTTTTGATATCGTTGTTTTTTTTTGGGAAAGAACTTACTGGTGCAAACAATGTAGCAAATTTCTTTTCAGAAATGCATTAGTTGTTCTTTTTATTTTCTTTTTAGACATCTGTTTAAATTATAAAAATGAAACAATGAAGAGAATGTAATGTAGTTTGATTAAACGGTTTACCTAAAAACGTAAATTTAAAAGTTGAATACTGGCGTTATAAAAGAAAAATTCTTGATAAAGCAAAAAATTTTTTTCTGCTCGCTTTTGCCGAACAACCTGAAGTTTTAGACTTGCAAACAGCTTCAGCATAACAGTTTAATGTGAAGATTTTAAATCTTTTCAGTTACCATCTATCAAGAGTGACCATATACTGATAACACTAATTTTCTCTTGCCTAAAATACAACTTTTTTCAGACTTATTTAATAGAAATATAAGTCCACAAGACCATGACAAGAAAGCCTTTACAAAGACGCTGGATTCTTACCAACAACCGTTATTGGGTAAATCTTGTGAGGACGAATTTTGCCCACCAAAAACCCAATGCGTGCAACAGGAAGTTTTAGCATACTGTCGAACTCTTTAATGCAAATCAGATGTACGAATATAAAGAGCAATTTTCATGCTAATAATAGATATGATTGCATTCGTGGCAGCAATAACAATAACTGTCATTATCTTAATTATGCTAATAATAATAATAAAACTTTACTGTATTCAAAATATTCTTCAAAATATATTCGGTGTATACGAAATTTGCAATGTTTTTTTTTTGCCTCACTTTGACTCAAAAGTGTTTTTTATCATGATACTGAATGGAAGGAATTTTATTTACTTCGACACTCCTCAGCAAGCAATCGTTGAAAAATCCATGATAGCGTGTAGATGCGAGACAAAAAACTCCGTTTGATACCCTTTAGCCAGGTGTATCGTTAGATTTAAGGCTGGAATTTAAAGATAGCAATTTACTATCGAAGATATAAAGAGGATATATTTTCATGTTGGAGAAAAGTAACTTTGACAGATGTACATTACATTTAGCAGTAGATTGTTTATACTCATTGAAATTTGGGCATCCCACTACCTAATAATCTGTTAAATTAACTATCGGTAATCTACACTGCCATTCCTTCTTCCTCTTAGATTTAATTTGGTTAGCGGTGACCAAAGCCATGGCAGAAAGTAATGATTTTTGTCAAGCAAAATAAACAGCTCCGGAAGATAAAAATTTCCGAATGCTCTTATCTTCAACGCTTATCGGATTCTATCATAAGACTTAAGCCTCATTTTCGTTAAAAGTGTTTTTGATAATGAGTAGTTGGCAGAAAGATTTGTGAGTTATTCAAATGATTCCATAACACATATGATTCAAATCAGATTTATCCAGCCGAGACTAGACAGAGCATTACCTTCTTCTAATGTTTCAGAGCACTATATCAGCATTAAGAATGCATACTTATATAAAAAATAAGATTCACAAACTGAATCTGAATAACAATAGCAGTGCCGCTGTCAGACGTATATTCTGAAGCGTTTCATAGTTGACTATCGTCGCGCAGTAAAATATAGGGCTGCAAGAGAAGGTTTGCAACGAACAGTGAATGCACTTTATGCGGAAGAATCACTTATTACCTTTCTGGGAAAATGGTGATTTCAGCTTCGAACAGATTCTGTTTTAGAAACTCTATAGTTCTTGTTGTTCCTAGGTTTCGCAGCGGTTTTTAGTGCTGCTTAGTGTCATTTTATGTGAATCGTTGTAAACTTTTTTTTTTTATTGTCAGCTGTATATAAATTTATAATTTTCTTTTTTATAATTGTTTACATAAGCATTTATATATAAAATTTCTGTAGCATTCGTATGATTCATCATTGGCATATATTCACTACTTGTTGCTTCAGTATCACTTCTATAAAAGCGGTAATGGAAATTTGCATATACAAGATTCACATGTTTTATACAGATCCTTAGTTTTATGTGGTAAGTGTCCGTTGTCTGAAAGAAACGTTTATCACAGATTTTTTTTTTTTTTT